AAAATGATCTGCAATAGCTTGAACACCCACACCCCCCACCAAGTTGACAGCTTGGTTTTCTCTACTGGAAGAAGAATAAATACTATTTGAAATTTTGTTGTTAATATTATCAGTGTGATAATTATCAGAGCCAATTGGAGATTTTGGTGGTGTTTGTTATAAGGACTATTGCCACGTAATTCATATTTGTCTGTTAATAGTTTGTAAGCTAGGAAATGAGTTACACACTGAAGTAACTCTTGAGGTATTATATATACCCTTTTATAGAAACATTACAGATGTAAATCTCTTCTAGTTAATAGTGTTCTGTATTAAAAATATGTGAGCCCCCCTGTATAATTTTGAATTTTCTAATTTCTCATTAAAAACTAGAAGAAAGCTGGGTGTGGTGGTGCACACCTGCAATTCTAAGCATTTGGGAAGCTGAGGCAGGAGGATCACTGGGAGTTCAAGACCACAGGCTACATAGTGAGTTTAAGGCCATCCTGAACTATATAACCAGACCCTGTCTCCCAAAGGCAAAAAAGGAAAAACTAAAAGAAAAAGATGACATCAATTTAATAATATATTTTATTTACTCTGATGTAAAATATCATGTTAATATAACATCAGTATGAGAATTTTAATGAAAGATTTTTTATTTTTTGAAGACCATCTTAAAAATGTAGTGTATATTTATTGCACATCTCAATTTGTATTAACCACATTTTAAATTCCTAGAGGTATTTTGTTTATAGTGGTCACCACACTAGATGGTAGAAATATGGATAGAACATCCCCAGTCTGAAAATTCAAAATCTAAAACGCTCCAGTATCTGAAACTTTCTCAGTGCAAATGTGGTGCTACAAGTGGAAAATTCCACACCTGCCCTCCTGTGAGTAGTCACAGTTAAATAGACACACTTGTAGAAAATTACCGAAGGCTGTGTGTTTAAATTACAGTAGATGTGAAGCATTGGTGAATTTTGTGCTAAAACCAATCCCCAAGATAGTTTGTTATGTATGTGCAAAAATTCAAAAACAGATCTAAAACACTTCAGGTCCCAAGTATGTCAGATAAAGGATAGTCACCCTGTAGTATATTTAGCTGAAGAAGACTCAATTGTAAACTAGTTAAGCAGCAAATTAAGAATTATATAAACAACAAGAATAAAAAGAACATATATATATATACACAACAGAAATGATCTTCTCAAACTGAAGTGTGGTATATCTTAACTTTAATCCCCTGCTGCATTTAGGTTCAGTAGGTGAACCTTCCAATTTTCAGATGCTTCAGATTCTTCAAACCTGAGGAATAGCCTAGACATAGCAGAGAATAGGGATCTCAAAGGTTATATAGTACGTATTGGGAGCTCAGGCTATATCAGTGTAATCACTGTCCCGATTTGAGACACCAAGGAATGCCTGGAAGGCACTTCAGTAGATACTCTTATGTCCCCCTGCACAGACCTGTTAATAGGAGTATATGATCTTTGTTGTAGTTCATCTTTTTTTAAAGACTGAGACTTTATCAACCAACATTTTATTGGCTCACACATTCAAGAAGCTGGTGATAACTATCACTTCAACTCTGAGACAGCAGAAGATTCTATATTGTCTCTTTTTGAAAATGTTCTTATTTTGAGTATCCCATGGTTATCAGCAGTCTTGGAAGAAGTTTTTCATATTTCTGTCCTGCTTATGCTATTTTTGCCATGAAGAAATGCATAGGACTTTTAAATAAGTTGAAAAGCATGATGACTAGTAACTTACTACTTGATGACTTGTAACTTATAACTTGTTCTCTTTGGTTTCCTTTGCTGCTTAGCATGGTCTGAAGATGTATTTGCCCAGGTACTTTTCTCTTTCCACAGGAAGTAGTTAACCTATGTTTAGAGTTTTTAGAGTCTAAGCAATTTCATTCTTAACTATTTCCAGAACTTCTTTATGATCTTACTTATAGTGCATATTCGTTAATGTTTTCAACTTGCTTTTCATTATCAGAACAATATTTGTCTTCTAACAGTGAAATAATACTACAAACTTATAATAATAGCCAGGTCTCTCATTTTTGTCTAGCTCTGATTCCTGTTTCTCTGAGATAGGCACTTTCACCTCTTTTGGTGTTTTTTTATTTTTTTTTCTGTTTTTTGTTTTCGAATTTTACAAACCACATTCTTACATTTTTCTCTTATTGGTGTTACCTTTGGATTTACAATGGGTGGTATTGAATTGGCATTTTTGTACATACCTTACCTCCCCCTTTCTATCCTTCCAGTATATTTTCTCATAGTTGACATCATTGTGTCCAAGGCACATAATATATTGTGATTGGCATTGTAAGTTTTCCTGGTGTACTGTAGTTTTTTGTCAGTTTTCCCCGTGTTTGCTTAAGAGAGGGGTAAGTTATATTTGTTATTTTCATTATCTTTCTAATACCCTCCATACATAATGCAGTGGGTCAAGTCAGGGTAACTGGTATCCATCAATGCAAACATTTATAATTCCTTTGTGTTAGGCACATTCAAAATCTCCTCTACTAGCCATTTTGAAATATTTAATTGTCAAGTGTAGTTACCCTACAGTGCTATAGAACATTATACATTTTTTATCCTGTCCACCTATTCCCATAAACTATCCTCTTTAAATCCCTCTTTTCCTCAACCTTTCCAGTGTCTCATAATCATTCTGTTACCCAATTCTATTAGAGAACTGTTTAGGTTCCATGTAGCAGTGAGTAGAAATGAAAACATCTGACAGTCTTTCTTGCCTGGCTTATTTCACTTAACCTCATGCCCTCTATGTTTGTCTATGTTACAAATGACAGTCGTATTCCATTTGTATGTGTATTTGGTCCACTTTGCTTATGGCTCTGTGGTAGTCTGATTGTATCTGTATATAACCGGTTTTCTTTGTCCATTCATCTGTTGATAGACACTGAGGTAAGTCTATATCTTGGCTCTTGCCATAGTGGTATAATAAATAGGATAGGGTAGATGTCTCTTCAACATACTGATTTCCTTTGCTTTGGATCTATATCCCAGTAGTGGGGTAACCAGTTATCTCTTTGGGCTCCTGTCCTGAGGACCCTGAAGGATGAAATCCATGGATAGTGGGGAATGAGCCAAGTATAGCTCACAAGAACAAAGAAAAGCTGTCTCTAGCCAAGAGGGGCTCCAACAGAGAATGCAGAGGAAGCACCCAAGTTCAGGAGTTTATATACAGCCCTTCCTGGACTACTGAGCTCTTTTGGTAGGTGCGTGAAAGTGAGTCAATAAAGCAGTGCAGTTAGTCCTTTTAGTCAGGCTTCTGACTCAGGAGGAGCAGACTTCCCCTGTTCCCTAGCTTCCAACAGCATACTGTCCTTTAGTGAGCCTTTCTGTCATGTTCCACTTTTCCCGGGGCTTATCTTGGTCTACTTATATCTCTATCCTAGCTGTCTATTATTTGTCTATTTCCTGGTCTCAGTGGGATAGTAGAATCATATGTTGTTTCTATATTTCACTTGTTGATAAGCCTCCATAGTGTTTTCCATAATGGCTAAACTAATTTATGTTCCCTACGAATAATGTATGAGAGATCCCCCTTCTCTGCATCCTCATGAACATATGTTTTATTTTGTCTTTTTTGGTAATAGCCAATTTTATCTTATTGTGGTTTTGAATTCAATTCATCTGATGATTAATGATGCTGAGTTTTTTTTCATATGCATGTTGATCATTTATATGTTTTCAGAAATGTCTGTATAGGTATTTTGCTTATTTTAAAATTCAGTTATTTGTTTTCTTGGTATTGAGTTAATTTCTTTTATGTATTTTTAGATATTAACCTTTATTAGATGTATAAAATGCAAATTTTCTCACATTCGGTAGATTGTCTCTTCATTCCTGTAATTGTTTGCTATACTGTACAGAAAGTTTTTAGCTGGATATGGTCCTGTTTATCTATTTTTGCATTTATTGCCTATGCTTTTGAGTTTTTATCAAGTAACTTTTTGCCCAGTGCAATGTTACGAAGCTTTCCTTCTCAGCTTTCTTCCAGTAGTTTCATAATTTTGAGTCTTACATTTAATTCTTTAATACATTTGAAATTCATGGCTGATAGAGATGAATGCCTATTTTCTCTCTTCTGCATATGAATGTCCAGGCAATCCTTGTTCTTTTGTTTCATATTTTCATAAAAGACAACACTTCATCCTCAATCCTCTGGTTCTATAAGAATTTAAAGAGGAAGTGCTTATAATAAACTGAAGACTCTTGTTCTCCAGGCTACATGAATTCTTCTTGTTTTTATTTTAAAATTTCAACTATCATACATGATCTTAAAGTCCTGTGTAATGTTGTCTTTCTGATAAATCTCACCTCTAAAAGTTACATTTTAAATTTGTATACCACATCAGAGCTAGCAAAAATTGCTTGACTAAAATACTCACTCTCAACCAATCTCTTATATTCAGTTGATTACATCCGTCTCATACAATATTGAGAAAACTTTACTTTCATGAAATGTTAAGAAACATTCTCTTATTTTTAAATAAGTTATCCCAGTAATTGTCCATGTGAAGAATGTGATCTGAAAGGTCAGGCTATTTACTTAACTTTTCTATGTGTAACATTCCTAGGAAAGACAGTGTTTTGGTATTCAGTCTAAGAGTTTCATCAAAGCTGGCTTTCGCTCAGTCTAGAGAATAATTCTACAACAGTTTTGTATTTTTATATAACCAACCCCTTGTTGTCTATGCTAACACAAGTAGTTTTATTCTCTCTGTTGCAGAGAGCCCATCCTATCATGTCTGTCTTGCTTAACTAACTCATCTCATTGCTCTTAATAGACTTATTCAACCTTGTCTAGTTCTTTTCTTCCTTTGTTCTATTCTTTCCTTTGTGAAGATAACTTTCTGCCCTCTTTTGCTTGGAAAAGGAAGAACTTTTAATAAGCAAACAGCCTTTTCTTGATAAATAGGCTCATCTTGGGTTAACTGATTAATCTACTTCACCTAGTCTTCCATCGTTTTCCAGGACAGTCTCCGTAAGAAGGATGACAGGATTGAAGAACTGGAAGAAGCACTGAGAGAAAGTGTGCAGATAACTGCAGAGCGAGAAATGGTGCTGGCACAAGAGGAATCAGCCAGGACCAGTGCTGAGAAACAGGTCTGCAATTTTATACAGTTACTAGCAATGCTGCTAGTTAAACAGAAGGTAAAAACCAACCAATAGAGTTTAGGTTGATTGTTCTATACTTATAGGGTTTCAGAAACACTTCATTAAGTGTAAGTATTTGAACTTAAATAAAAAATATAGCTGTGCAAAAACTTACTCATGTTAATGCAGAGGTCTCTGCATTAATAGTTCAAAGCTGATTTCATTTATATGTACATGGTATAAGTTAATATATCAGGTAAGATAAAATGGAACTTGTCTGTTTGCTGCAAGACTGTGCATAACCCTGGCTTTTGAGTTGACTGAGGAAATACATTTCTGACTCGGTATTAATTTCAAATAACAAATAGGTTATTATATAACCTGCTGTGTTCACAAGAGCAATGAAGGTTATAACAAGCTAAACATTAATAGCAAATATGAAGGATGTAGATATTGTGGCATTCCAATCCCAAATCAGCATATCTTAGCCTGGAAGTTACTTAGGAAGAATTCTATTGGTACTGTTTCTAGAGTTTGTATTACATACTTTCCAATTTGCTGTACACTTGCCTTTGATTTTTTTATTAGAAAGAATGACTAAAGATAGGCTGTGTAAATGGAAAAACCGGTTTTAACAAGTGACAGCTATATTCTCCATTCACATTCTGAAAATGTGATTTGAGATTTTGAATTTATCTTACACAGAGGTTTGTGGCATTTCATTTTTGTAATGATTATTTCTTTTCTATTTCCTTTTGGAAGAATAGTAAATGCTACATAGGAAAAATAAAGGAATTCAATGAGGGGTGACAGGAATCTGTTGGGGAACCCCCTTGATCCAGTCACTGATGTTACTGTGAATTAAGGTGGTTAGATTTTATGGTTTGGTTTTTCTCTGGTACTGGGAACTGAACTCACGACCTTGCGCTTGGCAGGCAGGCGCTTTGCCGCTGAGCTAAATCCCCAGCCCCCTAAGATGGTTAGATTTTAAAGAAGAAGGTTCCACGTCAAGGCAGACATACAGTAATACATATCCCAGAGAGACCTTTCACTCCATGTTTACCACAGTTACATAGTCTTTTGGGGGAATGTGGGAGTTATGTACTGGGAACTGGACTTGCAGTAAACTACGTATTTAGCCCTTTCTAAAATTTTTCCAATGCATATATTTTGATCATATCTATCCTCTATTGCCTGTCATTATATCTCACCCTAGTCCCATCTCTCACACAGTCTTTGTGGTAGAGTGACCCCAGAGACCTTGAAGTGCAGTGGTTCTGTGTCTACTGATTCCCAGTGTAGCTCAGTCTTAAACAGTAAGTCCCTTCCCAGATGCTTTGGATTGTGTCACTCCCAAGTATGGCAGATGCTGCCACGAATTTCTTTTCCATCTCTAGTCTGCCATGCAGAAAGAGTCACTTTGAGAGTAAAACTCCATGCTGTATTTGCAGCTTGTAATAACTGTGGGCTTCTCTTAAGGTTTGTGGCAGCGGTTAGTTGTTTTTCCCTGGGATTGTGGACCCTCTAGACTTACCTTGTGTTTGCAAAGACATGACTTCTCTGGGTACTGGAGTTAGCATTCTAAACTGCTTTGTTCTTTTCTCTGCATTGTCTTCAGTTTCTCCAATTTTGCTATGGCTTACAACTTTGTTCTTTTTTTTTTATTTTTTATTTTTTTGGTTTTTCTCCAGTATCGGGAACCGAACTCATGACCTTGTGCTTGCCAGGCAGGTGCTTTGCCACTGAGCTAAATCCCCAGCCCCTATTCTTTTTTTTTTATTCCCAGAGTGCTACTACTTATTCTCTTTACTGTTTTCCAGCTGTTTTGACTCTCAGTTTCTGAGAGGGTCTTGATGTAATCTTGATGTGTATTTCCCTAATCGCTGAACATTTTCTATATACTTGTTGGCCATTTGTACTTCTTTTGAGAAGCATCTAATTTATCTACAGTATTTATATTGATTGGACTGTTTGGTGTGTGTAACTGCTTGAGTGCTTTATATTTTCTGGATATTAATCTAAAGTAAATTAGTCAAAAGAGTAGCTGACACAGATTTTCTGCCATTCTTTAGGCTCTCTCTTCACTGTTTCCTTTGCTGTGCAGAAATACAATTTGATATAATCCTATTTGTTGATTTTTACTATTATTCCCTGTGGTATTGCAGTCCTATTCAGAAAATCTTCGCTTGTGCTTATGGCTTCAGGTATTTCTCCTGTATTTTCTTTTAGCAGTTTCAAAGTTTCAGATCTTATACCTAGGTCTTTGATCCATTTTGAATTAATTTTTGTACAGGGTGAGAGGTAGAGATCTAGTTTCAATCTTCTACGATATAACCATTTTAAAAAAAATATATATATATAACCATTTTTTCCCTAATGTATACTTTCACTTTCTTTGTCCAGAAACAGGTGGGCTCTAGTTTGGTTGTTTTTTTTTTTTTCTGTGCCCTCTATTCTGTACCATCAAATTACATGTCTATTTTTTGTGCCAGTACTATGATATTTTTATTACTGTGGCTTTGGAGTGTAATTTGAAATTGGGTATTGTGATGCCCCTAGCCTTACTCTTTCTGTTTAGGATTACTTTGGTTAGTGTTTTTTCTCATTCTGTGAAGAATGCCATTGGTGTTTTGATAGGGATTACACTTAATCCGTAGATCCCTTTTGGTAATTTGGCCATTTTTATAATATTCTGCTGATCTGTGAACATAGGAAGTCTTTCCATCTTCTAGTGTCTTTTTCAATTTCTTTATCATTGTGGAGGTAATTCACTTCCTTAGTTACACTGATCCCTAGGTATTTTTTGAAGTTACTATGAATGGGATCATTTTTCTGATTTCTTTCTCAATCAGTTATTCATGTATAGGAAAGCTATTCTTTTTTTGATGTTGATTTTTATATCCTACTACTTTGCTGATTTGAGTTATCAACTCTAAGGGCCTTTTGGTGTCGTCTTTAAGGTGTTTTAGATATAGGATCATATCATTGTCAAAGAGGGATAATTTGGGTTTTTGTTTTGTTTTGCTTTGTTTTATTTTTTTGTCCTTTTGAGACAGGGTCTTGCTATACAGTTCAGGCTGACCTTGAGCTCACTTTGTAGCCCAGGCTGGTCTTGAACTTACAATGATCCTCCTGCCTCTGCTTCCTGAGTGCTGGGATTACAGGTGTGGGCCACCATGCCTGGCTCAAAGAGGGATAAATTTGACTTTGCAGTTTTCTGTCTATATTCCTTTATCTTGCCTAATTGCTCTGGCTAAAATTTTAAGGACTATACTGAAGAGGAGAAGTGAGAGTGGACATTCTTGTCTTGTTTGTGATCTTAGAGGAAATGCTTCCAATTTTTCTCCATTTATATTGTTAGCTATGAGTTTGACATATGTGACCTTTATTTCATTGAGAAATGATCCTTCAGTATCTAGTTTATCTGGGGCTTTTGTCGTGAAGAGATAATTGAATTTTGTTGAAGGCTTTTACTGAGCTAAATTGAAATGACCATATGATTTCTGTTTTTTAACGTTGCAAGTATTTCATAAAGGATTTCTATGTTGCATTTTTCAAGCATATTTTTCTGTAATTTTCTTTTTTGTTGTGTCCTTTTGGTTTTTAATATCAGGGTGATGTTGGTGTCATAGAATTAGTTTGGAAGTGTTCCTTCCTTTTCTATTTGAGAGAATAGCTTGAAGATCATTGCTGTTCTTTAAATACATTTTTGTTGTAGTAGACCATATATTTAGAAATTTATCCATTTATTTGGATTTTCTAATTTACCAAAATTTTTATAATAGTTTTTTTTTTTTTGTACTGGGAATTGAACTCAGGCACTGTTCCACTGAGCTGTATCCCTGCTCAAAGTCATTCTTGACATTACTCTAGTTTTTAGTGGTGTCCATTGTAACATTCTCTTTTTCATCTCTAATTGTATTGATTTGGGTCTTCTATCTCCTTTCTCCTTAGTTAGCATGACTAGAGGTTTATCTTTTCAAAGAATTTTGTTTATCTTTTCAAAGAACCAACTCCTTGTTGGATTTTTATTATTTCTTTTGTATTGTTGGGTTTGGTGGTGGTTTTCTAAAATTTTTAGATACATCATTAGGTCATCTATTTGTGATTGCTTTGATTTTTTCTATATGGACATTCAGAGTTACAGACTTTCCTCTTAGAACTGCTTTGTCCTTATCACAAAGATTCTGGGGCTGGGGATTTAGCTCAGCAGCACAGTGCCTGTCTGGCAAGTGCAAGGCCATGAGTTCAATTCCCGGTACCGGGAAAAAAAAACAAAACCAAAAAAAAAGGATTCTGGTATGCTGTATTTCCATTTTAATTTGATTGTAGGTATTTTGTTTCCTCCCTAATTTCTTCAAATACCCACATCATTTTAAAGTAAATTGTTCAATTCTATGTGTTTTATAGGTTGCATGCTTTCTTTTGCTGTTTATTTCTAGCTTCATTCCATTATGACCTAATAAAACACAAGAAATTATTTCCTTATTTTATGTGTGTGTTAAGGTACTTGTGTCCCTTCATGTTGAATAGTATTTGTTTTATGAAATTGAGTATACTGATGTTTGGCACACATACATTTACAACAGTTATATCTAGTGGCCTAATTTGTTTTGCATTCATCTTTGGCACATAGGACTATAGGTACTCCTTTCTGCTTTCTAGTTCTGTTTGCATGGAATATTGTTTTCCATCCTTTCACTTTCAGTCCGTGTATGCCTTTGCTAGTGAGGTTTATTTCTTGCAAGTAACAAAGACTTGGTCTTATTTCTAAATCCAGCCTGCCAGTCTGTGTCTTTTAATTGGAGAATTAAGACCACTTACATTCAGAAGTATTACAGAAAAGTATATACTAATTTCTCTCCTATCTACATTGTCAAAGATTTTTCTTCTCTTCCTCTTCTGTGTGTAGCATTCTTTAAAAGGTATACCTTCAAAAGTATCGGGGGCTGGGGATTTAGCTCCACGGCAAAGTGCCTGCCCAGCATGCGCAAGGTCGTGAGTTCGAT